AAGCAGTACTTCAAGCGATGAATTCAGTGGCCCTGATTCATATCGCCGCACACGGTGATGCTGAAAGAGGAGCAATTGCCCTTGCACCATCGTTTCGTATTCCTAACGGGATACCTCAAGAAGGACTGTACTTATTGACAATGTCTGACATTTCAAAAGTTCAACTGCGAGCTAAACTGGTAGTCCTTAGCTGTTGCCACAGTGCTCGTGGACAGACAAAAGTTGAGGGAGCCGTTGGAATTGCCCGAGCATTGTTAGGATCTGGCGCGCGCTCAGTGTTGGTGGCACTGTGGGCCCTGGATGACAAAGCAACAGAGCAGTTAATGAGGCATTTCTATGATCACCTTGTTGCTGGTGAAAGTGCTGGTGAATCTCTACACGAGGCCATGAAGTGGATGAGAAGTGCGGGCTATGACGTGACCCAGTGGGCACCTTTTATACTGATTGGAGATGACGTGACATTTGATTTTGGAAAGAAAGGTAATTGAAAAGTTTCATTGAAGGGAAGTGTTTTGTTTTATACAGTAAAGGGCTCGCCTGTTATTTATTTAGATTTTCCTTAGATGTTATCGATTCATCTTAATGTATTTTTGGTGATGTTATGAAGAGAGTTTGACAGTAGCTTTGCACTTGAAGAAAAACGTGGAAATTGGGATAACACCAATCTCAACAGGCTCGCCTTTTACTAACATTTTTAAAAATAAACTGAAAACGTGACCATTTAAAGAAGCATTTTAAAATTGAAGTTTGGAATTATTAATTATATATCTTCTATTTTTTTAAATATTTTTTACATTTTCTTAATTTTTATAGTAGGCATTTGGTTAGAGATTTAAGTTCTTGTAAAACGCCATTGCACCATTGCGAAATGGCGCTATAAAAATTTTATTATTATATTTACAAAATATTAGCAATAGTATTTTAACATTAGCTTGATTATTATTTTGTGCGCGATTGGGCGATGACGTTATGTCCTGTTAATTTTACAAAGACAAAATAATGTTATTGCAAAAGAAAACTGGAGGACGCTTTTTTTTTTATGGTCCACCCTTCTTCACATGCTTGCACAGCATTGCAATGAGGTCGAAATCGTCCAAAAGTCCACCCTGAAACTGCTCGCGGTTTTAACTGACTTTTGTTTAATTTATATCGACGTTTTCTTTGTAATGACCTATTTACAATCAATAAGCCACAGCCATATATCATGTCGTGTTAAATTTCGTTTTAAATTTTATAAATTTTTAATTAAGAAAGCAAGAACAAGTTGCCTCAACTTATAATATTATTTTATGATGGTAGAATTCATTGCTTTAGCTTATTTACTAGGGTAAGACACGAAGACACGGTGTTCTTGTTTTATGCTAAGATAAAATATAATATTCAGCCAATCAGGACGCGCGCAGAATATAATCTTTTAGAAGAAATCAGTTTCGTTATTAAGCAACTGCTTTTTGAGGAAATGCTTAATCCAGACCTAGGAAGGTAACTGAACATTAGCGCTGCTAATGATTGTCCCTTTTTGTTTGTTTATTTCCTCTGTCAGGTGTTGGAAAGAGTGACCAGGAAGGTAGCGAGTGACCGCCGGAGATGTAAAATATGCCACGACCTCAACGAACAGTTTTACTGCTAGTTGATATAAATGAAATAGACCTTTAACTTTTGGCCANTCCTTGAATGACAATAACATTGAAACAAATCCTGAATCTTGTCAGGAAGAGGATCCCGCAACTTTGCGACAAGGTAAGCCTGGGAATACGGATGATCCCGAACCGAGTTTAACATTGTTCTACGAACTGCTCGTCAATCCTGTATCGAACTTCCTTGACGAGCCTGAAGTCATCATTGTTCCTGATCGCAACCTGTATCGTGTTCCATTTCCAGCTTTACTCAGTGAAAGTGGGAAATATTTATCGGAGCGTTTCAGAATCCGCGTGGTTCCTTCTTTGTCGACCCTGAAGCTCATTCAGGACAGTCCTGCAGACTATCACCGTCAGACTGGTGCTCTGGTAGTGGGTGATCCTGATGTTGGTGTGGTGATTTACAGGGAAGAAGTCAATAAAAAGTTCGTACCATTGCCAGGTGCAAGAAGGGAAGCAGAGATGATCGCACGACGGCTGGGCGTTTGGCCTTTGTTAGGACAGGACGCAACAAAGAAAGCGGTACTTGAGAAGCTGAATTCAGTGAGTCTGANTGGGTGATCCTGATGTTGGTGTGGTGATTTACAGGGAAGAAGTCAATAAAAAGTTCGTACCATTGCCTGGTGCAAGAAAGGAAGCAGAGATGATCGCACGACGGCTGGGCGTTTGGCCTTTGTTAGGACAGGACGCAACAAAGAAAGCGGTACTTGAGAAGCTGAATTCAGTGAGTCTGATACATATTGCTGCACATGGTAATGCTGAAAGAGGAGAAATTGCTCTTGCCCCTGTGGAGCCGGTCCATCCAGGATCTACTACAGTAACCGGAATTCCACAAGAAGACGACTACCTTTTGAAAATGTCCGACATTTCAAAAGTCAAAGTGCGGGCTAAACTGGTTGTACTAAGCTGTTGTCACAGTGGCCGTGGACGAATTAGAGCCGAGGGAGTTGTTGGAATCGCTCGCGCGTTTCTAGGAGCCGGTGCACGCTCGGTGTTGGTGACACTGTGGGCTCTAGACGACAGTGCAACAAAGAAGTTGATGAGTCGTTTTTACGAGCACCTTGTTCATGGAGAAAGTGCCAGTGTATCTCTTCACGCGGCCATGAAGTGGATGAGAGATCACGGCTTTACCAAGGTTTCCAGATGGGCCCCGTTTATGCTGATTGGAGATGACGTCACATTTGCGTTTGAAAAATAAAGGTATGTTTTTTGCTAGCGAAGAAATTATTTTATAAATTTGGTTAGTTAGTTGGCCACGCGACCTAAAGAAAAATTGAAACTCCCTACTCTTCTTCTTTTAATTTGTGTTTAAAAGGGCAAAATCTAGCTGTGCTGTACACAAAAGAGTTACAGAAGTGAATCAAAAGATTTTCACTTCCAATCAGTTATTGAGAAAAATTTTTCTTTCAACAACAGACTTTCTTGTGCGGCGATGAGATTCCTTATTCTTGTCATTTCTCGACCGTAAATTTGGGACTTATGCTTAAAAAGTAAAGTGTTCTGGGACATGATTGGACGCGTATGTCTGCGATTTAAGAATTAAACTGTAATCATCATCTCTGAATGTATAATATATTTCTTCAGGTTTTATCTTTTGCTTAACAGAAATTACTGTTACACAATGGTTGGGATTTTAGATATCTTCAAATTAGTTTTTTTTCGGTTTTGTAGGAAGGAAAGACCTCGCCGATGGAGTACTCCATACAAATACAAAATCAAGCAATGAACCAAGAAAACAAGAAACTTCTGCAAGGACAGTGTAAAATAGAAAGGCAATGCTGCGTTGATTTTCTTTTATGGCCATTGTCTGTTACAAGCACAACTGTCTGTTACAAGCACCTAACTTTAAAATAAATCATCGGATAAGGGACAAAAATTACAACATAAATCAATCAAAAAGCTCATTTAAGCAAGAAAGTGTTAATGAGAGGTTTGAAGGTGTCAATTGCGCAGACAAAAATGCTAGCGTCAGTTTGATTGTATATATGATTATCGTTTTTACTTTTTAGCATAACGTGTAATTATTTTAGATTGTATTTCATGATCCTGACTTATATATTTTTTTAAAAAAATTTTACTCATACATTATAATATTTACTTTTAATTTTGATTTCTGTGGAATAACTGTGTGCCATTTTCTTTCATGCGATGTCACACCTCACATATAACTAAGAGTGTCACACAATAAATTTCTATTGCATTACATTGCATTGTACTGTATTGTGTTATTTTGTGGTTCGTCACAGCAAGATTCAATACTTATAAAGTATGGTCGTTTTCTCGGCATATAGTCACTTTAGACTTAGATTGCGACGTTTCGACTGTTTATTGAGGGTCTTCATCGACTGATCACACATTACACACTGATCATTACCCGTTAAGCACGATGTCGTCTGTGATTGGTGGATTTCAATCCTTACATTTCTGGTGAAATTCAAATTTTTAACGTTTCATTTTGTTACAAATTGTTATCCGTCGAACAAAGAAAAATGGTTGTCGAAAGCTCATATTTTAAATAATTTTTACCAGAGAACGCTTCATTCTATTTTATTATTATATACCTGAGCGAATTCGCAAAAACATGCCCGCTAGGTTTTTGCCTGGATTCGGGCTTCGCCCGAATCCAGGCTAAGCCAGCGGCCTTAAACCCAGGGGGGCTCCGTCAAGGCTAGGCTGGGCACATGACCCAATGACTGGCCTATCTGCTGGTGACTTGCTGGGGGCCAGCTGTCAAAAGCAGGGGGGAGGGGAGGGTGTCTTTTACTGACACCCCCAACTAGCTAGAATTTGAGTTTTCAGTGTTCAATAAGCTTGAAATTGACTGTGTTTCTGGGTATTTTACTCAGTTGTTTGACCTTGTTTGAGGCTTCTGTGTTGACATGGCACCCTGCTGGAGTGGTCCATGCCACGTGCATGCGTGAGGGGCCAATCTCCTAGCCAGGGGGGTGGTCAGAGGACTTCTGGCCGCTGGGACTGTCTTTGAGTCAATGCGGGCATGTTTTTGAGAATTCGGTTAGATATATTCCAATGTGAACGGATGCAATTTCGCACAATTTTACAGATTCTGTCGGAAATTTCCTCGAATTTACGTTGAAGTTTACTTGCAAAGCAAATGAGAAAAGTTTACGGCGAAAAAAGCTACAGTTTTTTTTTCTATAAGAATATTTCTTTCCGGGCCAGGCTAAATATTCTTATTTTTCTGCCGATTATAGGCTGAAAATATTCTTGTAAATATTCTAAGATTAGTTAAAGGAATACAAACTGGACTATGTCAATAAAACGTCAGATAACAAATTGACGTCAGTTTTTACGTGTCTGTCCTCTTATTGATGATAAATGGAGGCATAACTGTCAAAATGACTGTGGAACCACGAACCGCAGGAGAGTGGTTCCGCGGTAAACTTGGACAAAGTTATGACGAAATTTATCATCAATAAGAGGACAGACGCATAAAAAAACTGATGTCAATTTGTTTTTTACAATAAAAAGACCCAAAACTGGTCAAATACCGGGAATAAATGGAGGGGAAAAGACGCGTAAACGTGCCGTAAACAAAGATAAGTGAATTTTATTCAAAATGACGCGAACATTGTCGATAGCTTTTCTCGCTTTTTGATTGCTTACTTAAAAAAGTCCATAAAATCTCATTGGTTAAAAAGTTGGTAGTTTGACAGCTGAAAGTTGAACTTGAAAGCTTGCACAAATTAAAATTTTTTCCGTCTTTACTCTTATTGAAGATAAAAATGAGCCAATCAGCGCGCGAGAAATTAGACAGTTATTGTAAAATTACCTATCGAATAATGACTTTCTTGACGATAGAATAGCTTTGGAGGCAGACTGCAGACAATAAAGTCTGATTAGACACATTACTTCTCGCAGAAATTTTATTAGCATCGAACATACGGCTGGTGCTGAGTTTGTTGTTTTTTGGTTAGTTTTGCCGTTTAGAGAAAGGAAGAGTTTTATACGATTTAGTTAAAATATAATGGTATTGTACTTACAAATTTTCAAAACACCGCAAAATCATGGCCTTTTCAAATTCCCAACAGGTTTTTTCTTGAAATGTTCTTAAAATTCAACAAATTTCAGTGTCGATATACTTATAAAGTATATTCTTATAAAACATTAAGATTAAGGATTAAAGTCTTCTCACGATACACAGCGGATCTTGGTTACATGTTGTGCCTTTTTTCTTTTGATGTAATAGTTGAAATATCATCTTTGTAGAGTTAAATCCAACTTGCTAGTGTTGGTATTGGCTTACAGTGCTAATGCACTTTGACCTTGGCTTAAAAATGTTTCAGTTCGTCTTCGACCTCATGTCCCGTGACCGGTCACGTGGAATAATAATAAGTTCATTTCGCGCCAAAATTATGAAATACAAAAGAGAATCAAGAATGGAAACAATAGAAACGGATTTATAACTAACAAGGTGCAAATCAATAATTCCTCAGAGTTATCCGATAATTTTCTTTAAATAACCACCAACAAAGTTCACTGCAACCTGTAAGCCGCAGATATTCCTGGATATTTTATCGTTTGTCATCAGTACGGTCGCATATCGTTACAGGGGTTTACCTGCCATCTATCGTGCGCGGTCGCATAGCTTCTAGTGGATGAATATCTTTAGATGTAGGGGCGGGTAACATGACGTAACTATACGAGACTTCACTTCACTAAATATTGTTACAGGCGAAGTCTGTTGATTAGTTGATATATTAGCATGCGTTGATTGTTAAGTGCATCAGGTGCCAGTCGAAAGATAGACAACAAAAAGTACGTATTAACAACTTCGTATTAAAAGCATCAAGCCTCTATAACACTTACGCCATTTATAAACTACTCCTTTAGGTTCGCGTTTTATTCAAGGAGACGTTTATGGTCAGGAAACGTCAAAATGAGAGTCTCAATTCAATCACGTAGAAATGTTAGAATACTGGAAGCCTTTGTTCGGCGAATGTGTTTTTGTCACATACACGGCAGGTGTACAACTGTGTTAAAGTGATACAACATTAAGATACGTGTGTTAAT